AAAAAAAAAAAAAAAAAAAAAAAAAAAAAAAATCATCTTTTCCCTCAACTGCTTCTACAGCTCTGGAAATGATGTCTAATTTCTAATTTGGTATTTTCTTTTTTGCTGCATTTTGAAGGATGAAGAAAAATGTTAGTTATCTTCATGTGTGCCCTAAGTGTTGGAAAAAAAAAAACCAAAACAGTTCCATTAGAGGTTGTAAATGCACTCAAATAATACATTGTAAAGCTAGAGAACGTTTGGACAAATAACTAAGAGGAGTGCCTTCACATAGTAGTCTCTTCTTCGTACAAGTTGCATGTGAAGATTTTGTTTTCTCTTTTAAAATAAACTACAAGCATCAACAGTTATCAACTTCCACACTCCGTCCTTGAATGGAGATTTTTGAAGTCATGCCCACATGTAAGCTCAAGGTTTGTAACTCAAGTGTAACAAATCCCTTAAAATACTTGAATACTGTCTCAAATTCTTCTAGTAGTTAAACTGGCACTTGATAATGTTAGAGCAACAAAACATGGAACTGCAATCACTGCCTCAATTATAACACTCCACTCACTACAATAAATGTGTGCTTATTGTTAAAAAGGCAAGCTTTCCCAGATTGCAATACATAATCTCACTTTCTCTAGCTTATTCCTATACTTTTTAATCATAGTTAGTATTTCTGTTACCCGTTTTCCACTTGCACACATTTATTCTCTTTATACATTCAGCATTCATTCCAGCCTTACAAATAAGTGAACAACAATGCAGCTATGAAAAACAGAGAAGCCGCTTGTTCCAAAGTACTCAAAGCAGCAAATTTTCAGGCTGCCATTGCTTCAGCAACTCATCATCTTGCTTCACCATCATTATCAAAGTTTACAAGAGTAGCTTCATGCAATTACATTAATGAAACTCCACTAGAAAGAGGAAATACGGTGTTGAGAATGAAACAAATCTACAAATAAACTACAAGAATATTCCAAATATACACTTCCAAAGAAAAAAAATATCAATAAATATTGGTTATAAACATCTGGGTTTACCTTTATATTTTATTAACTACTCTGTCTCAAAGTTGATCCTTTTAGTAGAGTATTAAAGTGAACTGAGCTAAAAGATCAATAAGTGTGGCTGATATCAAAGAACTGTATTTCAACAACTTTGCCTTTTAAAAGCATTCTTGATTTCCTTGGACTATATTGGATTTGACAACCCAAAAGTGTTTTTTTTCTTTTTTTTGTCTAAAAATAGATACTAAAAGTTTCATTATTCATTTCATTAAAATAGGATTTAGTTCCAGTTCCTGAAAAAGTGTGCTTATTCCAGCTAGAATTGAGTATGATACCTACTTGGTGTATACTCAGTGACTCAGTCTGCACTGCTCTACCAGAATGCTCCAGGGAAAACAGTTTGTAACCAAACCAATGTGCACTGCTTGCTAACACCAAGATTTTTTTTTTTTTTTCAATGACAACGTACATCTTAATATTGCCAAAAATATTGTTTTATTTGCCTAAAATAGAACACTCCTCTTGCCTATTAGTGTATCATGAAAATCTAACCAAAATATTAGGAATTTCACTTATTATCTGACTGTTTCAACCCTGTGCAGACACACAGCTTGAAGAATCCCAGAAGCCTGCAGCTGAAACTCCTAAAATATATTTTAGTACTATTATTTTAGTACTATACTAAGGCTTTTTTGTTTGTTTTTTGTTTTTTTCTTTTAAGTCACAAACTACATATTACTGTTCAAAATCATCCAGCTGCAAATTCAGCTTATAAGGAATTGTGACTAACGCACTTGGAGCCAGAGACAACCTTTTAGACTAAACCTCCACATCCTTGGCACAGACTGAATCAACACAGAAGGTCATAGAAATTTACCTCAAATGTTCTGGCAGGTAATGGTACAAAGTTGTTCCTTTCACCACTCTAAAGAGCTTATTCTAGATGTATTCAGTGAGTATTAAGAGAGATGTGGGCATTTTCCTCTTTCCTCTGTTCTATCTTCAGTCAGTCATTCTCCAACACATCAGCAACTACCAGATGGTGAAAAGTCACCCATAACTTATTTGAGATGAGTTTAAAGTAGTTTGTTAAATATTATAACTAGCACCCACTCTATGTTGTTTGTACTCTCCTGTTCCTACTACTAGTTTAGACATTATGATATGCTTTGCGTGGAAGAATTCTGCTTTATTATGCACCACTGTTTTCCATTCTGAGCACAGCACAATAGGTTTATCCTTCGGAAGGAAGTCAAAAGAATGATAGACACTGAATGGAAATGTGGGAGGTTTGCACTGGGCTCAAAGGTCTCAAATCACAGATTATAAGGCATCTCTGAACAGCATTTCACTTCACATGAGCACATTCGTCATTGTAACACGTTGTAAAAAGTATCATTCTTTAAATGTGAGCACTAAATAATGCAGCAATGACATCTTTTAGCATTACCTCTGTAGGTTTTGTTGATCTTGCAGTCAAGAAGCCAGACTTGTAAGAGATGTTAGGGGTTACAGACAGCACCCTTTCACCTCACACTTTCCCTGGGGAGGGAGCCAAATAGAAGCACCCCAAAACCCTACACTGTTCCCCTTCCCAAATCTTTCACCATCATAATTTCTGCAGTAATTATATTGACTTGTGAGAATGGCAGGTAACATTTCTCTGCAACAAAGACTACCAAAAACAGTGTTACTGAAGACAATGTCCTCTGAATAGATACTATAAACCCTGGTGGGTGGCATAACCCTGGTGTTACTTTCCTCCAACTGGGCCTAAGTTCTTCTCACAGAGAGTGGTGATACACTGGAAGAGGTTGCCCAAGGAGGCTGTGGATGCCCCATCCCTGGAGGCATTCAAGGCCAGGCTGGATGTGGCTCTGGGCAGCCTGCTCTAGAGGTTGGTGACTGTGCAAGTAGCAGGGGGGTTGAAACTCGATGATCACTGTGGTCCTTTTCAACCCAGGCCATTCTATGATTCTATGACAAAGGAATTGAACAGGATCAGACATCTTTTATTAATAGTGTGGCATAAACATAAAATGGACAAAATGTGGCACAGACTACAGTTACTAAATCATGATTTTTGTTTTTTTAGGTAACCTGGAAAATAATAATGTATGAAGATGCCACATTACCTCTCTCAAGAAAGTGGGAGAGCGTGATCAAAGTCAATACATTTGGCACTTCACAATTTGATGTCTGAGAAGTAGGCCATTTCCCCATTCTGTTACCAGATTTCCACTGGGATTCAAGTAATCCAGTACATAGTAAAACAGCAAGAAAATGGTTCAGTGTGGTAGAAAAAAAAATATCCTAGTAGAAATATCATGCCATAGGAATGTATATTGTTCCATGTTCATATTGCTCCATGGCAACAAAGAATAATACTAGAACAATGAGGAAGAAGATCACATGGTTTCTCAGCTGGAGATCCAAATGATTCCAAGAAATATTATCAAACACTTTTTTCAAACCATATTTGTATATTTTGCTATAATTGTTCAAAAATCACCATTTAGTGATTAGATAGTCCACAGCTATGCAATCAATGTTCCTTGATGTTCCACAGAACTACTCAAGATGCCCATGCTTATTTATAACTTATTAACACTAACCAAAAGGAAACGTTCTTTTCCATCCCGCAGTGTTTTACAAGCAGCTCAAATAGCTTTATATTGTGCTACAAACTCTTGAACTTCCTGCTGAAGCTAAGTGCATTCCTGCTGCACAGTTTTACTTTAATGCCCAGATCAAATACTTCTCAGCCACAAGACAAATTCCTTTTGACATTACGTATGTTTTATATTCCTATACATAATTACCTATTCTGACTACTCAAACTGAGAGCTAAGAGAGAGTTGGAAAAGCTCAGTTCATTGTAGCAATTCTCTCTTTTTTTTTTTTTAAATTATTTATTTACTCAAAACAAAGTGACTGATTAATCCCTCTCATGGATAAGTAATATATTTCACATCTCAGAATAATGTTCATCAGAATTTTATTAACTGCTTGTACTACTACAAGTACAGATTTATCAGCATTTTAATTGAGCACTTTCAGGACTGTGTGCTAAGCTCTCCTTATGTTTTATTTTCTGTTTGTTTTGTGTTTGTGATTATTACATTTTTAATGGCATATTCCACTGCCGCTGGCTTTTTTTTAAATGCAGCTTTTTTGTTATTGTTATCTTCTACTGAATCATCTCAATGAATTTAAACATTCTGTTTAAACATAAATGAATTTAAACATTCTGTATTTTATAAATTCATATTTCCTTGTTATATTTGTATTTACATTAATAAATTCATATTCATAAATACAATTATTTTGCTTTCTATCTTGAAGTACCATTACTTACAGCCATGTTTTATCAATTATGAATGAAAATAAAATGCATCAAAACACTCCAACATAACTAAAAATACAAGAATTATATAATTCCTCAAAATGATATTTCTTGCAAAGGTGTCTATTTTATTTAATCAAATATCAGCCTAAGCAATTTCCTTCAGCCACCACCTATCACTACTTCTTCTCCCAAACCACGTGAAGTCAGTTGGAATTACACCTGTGTGTTTCTAAAACAGTCCATGCAATAAAAGAATTAAGCAAAGTAGAATCAAATTCTAGGTCCCTCTGTTGGGTTTAGCTCCTCAGTTATCAAATAAAACTTCAAAACATGAAACAGAATTTGCTTATACATCTGAAAGAGCTTCTCTGCTTAGAGCTCAGTTTCAATATTCTCTTTCTGTTTTCACAATTTGCATCCATAAACCGCATGAATCTTACAGATGTAATAATGTACATCTAACTAGAATACATGACTGCCCACTACGTGGCAATACTATCTTAGCACACTTAAATAAGACTTTATTTTTTCCTTCACTAAGTTTGCAATCCATGTAAGTTTATTTTAGGCATTGTTGATTTTAAGATTCAGTACACCCAGAGCTGAAATTGCAATAAGATTCATTTCAAATCTTTTCCTTTTATCAGAAGACAAAATTAGTGATTTAAGCCAAGTTACATAAGCATGCCTACTCACTATCTCAGCTATTGCTCAAGATAAAGGCAAAGCAAACTGAAATTCTGTAGTCAATGTCTTCAAAATTTCTGTATGTCAGGCAACTACAGTATCACTTTCTACTTGCTGAGGATCTCTGGTTCAGGAGTTTAAATTTAAGACAGTGGCTTCCATTTAAGACTTCTTTAATGACATACCAACTCCCAATCCCTAGTGCCAACTCTTTAAGCGAGATTCCTTTAGCACCCTCCTACAGATTTACCAAACAACAATGTTCAGTTAAAAGACACACTGCATAGATTATATTCACGTAGGAAAATTCTCATTTATTTTCAATTAAAGTCTCTCTATTAGTAACATACTAATTAGTGTTTTTAATAATCGTAATCATACATAGCATCATTATGACATACAGGACTTTCCTCTTTTTGTCTCTCTAATTTGGGAATGAGACCCAATAACCAAAGTCTGCAACAAAATGTCTAATGATGTCCTAGATATTGCCGACTTCTTCTTTTTTTTTTTTTTTTCTAATATCAAGTTAGATTCCAATAGTTTCACCTCAAATATGAGCTCATTATCAGGGCCTAAAGGACTCCTTGTTACAAATGCCTGCAGTTTTTCCATTCATTGTTAATATTTCTGCTGAGCTGCATAATCACTGAATTCCACTAGAAGTTGCATATCTAGTTGCTACTGCCCTTAATAAACACCTACACTTCAGAGTAAGTTCTCAACTCTAGTAAGCTTCAAGCTCTAAAAATCATAGCAAAACTATTCAAAAGCAAAATAACAACCCAAGCTTCCTACACAATTTCTCTACAATGAGAGAACTTCAAATTAAGTATAAATTTTCTACAATAAAAGGAATGAATTGCTCCTAAATAAAGATCTCACAAAAGCTGAAGTTAACGGCTCTACTCAAACTTGGCTCTGAATGCACTGCATACAAATAATTATTCTTCATCACTATGATTAGAATGAATATTTTAGGCATTTCCCACTGCAACCTTACCATCTCGCCTGTTGAGCTTCGCAAAGCTGGGACTGTGAGTACTGAGGAACTCAGAAGAACTGGTAAAGGCTGATGAAGGTAAGGTAGACACCAACGCACCGTCACAATTATCTAAAATAAAGCAAAAAACAAGAATATGTCAACTTCTACTATTCCATGGTGGTCTATGTTTCTACTCAGTAGACACAGATTAGAGAAGGATTAAACTTGTGTGTAATCTCTTAGAATGAAGTATATCATCACTGTTGCATGCAAGTGAAATTTATCTTCCAGACCAGCAGTCTGGTAGAACTGCAATCTGATGTAAACTGTTTTTGAAACACTGAATACTTGAAAATATTTCCTTTCAGAGAATGCAATCTTGTGATATACATTCTCCTTTAAGAAGGCAGCACTTCTGGTTGCAAAAGCCATTGAAACTATGCAGTAATGCCCAGCAGACTTTATGTAACGCCTCAAGTGCTGTGCGCAGTAAAATATTTATCTGCTGAGCAGGTATACAATGTAGAAGTTACAACTTCTTATTTCTGTACATAAGCAACACACAGGAATATAGGACCTTTCACAACACATAAAATTATATCCCAAATTAGTTTTACAAGTCAAGTGAGTGGTCTGGGACGCCTCCTCCTCCCCCCCCCTTTCATATTCTCATCTGAGGACAACTACAAGTATGCTTGCACACTTCCACACAATGCAATTAAAATTTCAAGCCTATAATGTTTGAAGAACAATGAAATTAGATACAGTATTTTTTTTTTTTCTGTACATCATTGTCACATACATATTCAAGAATATAGCACAGGTTTTCAATGGGGAATAACAAAAAAAAAAATTAAAATAACCCCTCATGGAACAAACCCATGGCACACTTTCAGTGAATCTTCCATGGAAGAAACACAGATCAAACTACTTGAAATGTCCTGCAAGCTAGCAAGATCTCAGACATCGCAGTGCTCTCAAACTCACACAGTAAATACTTAATTTGCAACGGGTGATGAAGAGATGCATGAATGGCACTTTATGGTTACAGAAAGCAAGGAATGGAAACAGATAGGACTTCATGGTTGTGACAGCGAACAGGATCATCCAGAATTGCGTGAGATGTTTCCTGTATTAGCCTGATTACAGCTGAAATACTATTCATCTCTTTCTGCAATTTTTCTATAGAACAGCACGGATATTTTGTCAAAGTCCTCCCTTCATTGTAGGAGGTTCTCTGCTTGTTTGCTCAGTGGGAGAACAACACTGCTAGCTACCTTCAGCATCCCTGTGCATGCTAGGCTGAGGGACAGATAGGAAACTTCCATCAATAGACTTCTGCTAGAGAGGAAGAATAGGCAGCCTCTGGATCCATTCCGTAGTATGGACTACTCCTTTATCAATCCACACATGGAAGTAAAATGAAATTATCTTACTAACACTCGGATGTGAGCTAACATACATTATGATACGAAATTCCTGAAGCAGCCATAAATCTCTTTCTAAATGCAAATATGTTTGATTGGGTCATTTAAATATATGCTGGATGTTTTAAAGTGGAAAATTTCCATAAAATGAAAATAATTGTTGTGCAAAAGTAGTGGGGAATTTTATGTGAACAACAGTGGGAAAAACTGTTTGAAAACTAACTCAGTTCTGCATTTATATACAGGTAAGTAGCTTTTCAAGAAAATTACTCTGTTCATAAAAAAGTATAAATAAAACAAGCATTACACCACTGTGAAAGATGAATAAGCTCAAGTCTGCAGCTCTAAACGAGCAGTTAGAAAGTAAAAATCGTGGTGAGGTTTGCTAAAAGAACATAGAGCACATGGCTCAAAATGCTGAAAACATTAGGCAAGAACACTTTTAACGCAGCAGATTTTTCAGTATGGATTTTTATGCTGACAAATACATTGCAAAACTGATCTTCATGATGGATTGTAAATAATATTAAACATAAATCCAATTGATATTCTGAAAGAATCAGGATGATATATTAGTTTTCTAAATGTGTACAAAAATAATACTCTGATGGATTAGCAAATAAAAGGGGGTGGCAGACGTGGAAAACTATTAATACAGATTTAGTTACCAGCCCACAAACTGCATTAAAATATTTGATTCACTAGTTTAGAACTTAAGCCTCCAAACAGCAGAACATGAACCACAGGCCAGGTTACATGAGAATGATTTCATGCAAAATAATGCAAGGGCTGATGAGAAATTCAGCCCACGAGGAGATAAAAATGTCAGCTTTAAGAGGTTTTGTCTAGCACATTTATCCCAGAAAAAATCAAATTAAACAAGCTTAGTACTACTTCATTAAGACATTGTAATTAGTAAGAGTAGGAAACATACATTTATTACACTTAGTTCTAAAAGTATTTTAACACTACTCATGTCTGGATTAAAATCAGGTCTATATCAAAATCAGCATAACCAATATAACTCAAAGCAACCTGTAAATTAAAATAAGCCTCCTAATTTCACTCTCACTTGTGACCTGAACAGCAATTTAAACAAAGATGTCAACCAGTACATATATCAGCACACCAAACTCCCTCAAACTTCAGCATTCTATAAACTCTAGCAAAGGGATTTAGAAACTCTCAAGAAGAGGTTCAAGGTCCTTGTGACAGATCTACATTAAGATAGAAGCGACATCAGCTCTGTGTTACACTGCCAAAGTGTCTATATGGGACCAAAGAGTAGGACAGTCTGCTCCAGGAGAGACCCCCATCGTTCTCTTGGTCATCCTCCAAGAAACCACCTTCCCCCTGAGATTTCTGTGCTTGGTTATCCGACACCAAATGAAGTGTCATGAATACCCTTCTGAGAGCATTAAGAGGAGATGAAACTAAGAGCCCTGATTTTATCTATTAAAAAATGCCAAGTGTATTTTTTAATGAAACTATGCTCAGGGAATAGCCTGCCAGCTTCACACATAGTATAAATTTGCAAAAAAAACATTGTTCTTTTCCTGTGTAACAACATCAATGATGCCTAGATTTGTAAATGAACCATATTTACATTTTAAATTGGCATCGCAAATATTAAAATTGCATTATCTATCATATACAAGATAGCTTTCTCTAGCTGTAATTGTTTACTGTCATAAGGACTACTAAGCACCACTTGGAAATAGAGGCTGGGATATAAGGGAGGAAATTTTAATGTAAGTAATGTCTAAATGGCTGGCTCACCTCAGATCTGAGCATACCAGTCTGTCATCCACCAGCTGTCCATGACTAGAACCACAACAGCAATATCTGGATTCTAACAATTATTGGATGTTATCATTAGATACATATAGGACATCAAGCATCTCAGAACTACAGCAAGTGTAAACCTTTTCAGAGCAATGCATTCAGGAGGTTAGCCAAGATCTCTGGAGGATACATCATGGAAAGTGACAATTACCTCTTCTAACTGCCAGATGCTTTATCAACAATTCCATAGCTGTTGCTCCAGTCCCCAAACACAGTCACCTGGATCGCAGCTGCTACAACATTATAGTGTCATTTTCACACCAATTCTGGAATCCTCTAATGGGTTTCTCAAGAAAAGAATGTGCTACAAGGAGGAATCCATAACTAAATATAAAAACATGTAATTTTAAGGCTTTGGGATTTAGGAAGAGCATTAACAATTTGAAGATAGCTCAGAGAGCTCCAGAAAAAATACAGTTTTCCTCTCTACAGATAAGAGAATGACTGACTTTAAGGAACAGCCTCCAAGCAAAGCTGATTCTTGAGTGGATACTCTGACAAGATGCAAGGTCACTCTTCCTTCCTTTCTTCCACTCTTCCGCTCTTCCTTCAAAGCTAATTTCACAATAACAGAGTCTGGACCTAACAGCCCTAAACATACAGACTTACAACTCAGGGCATGCCATAGCTTTACAAGCTAAATAAAATGTTAAAGCAGAGCGAAGTATTTAGGATGCATCAGTCAACAATCCAGGCCATATGCTCTGGTATGTCCCTGTCTGACACGCTACACACATGAAATGTACAGATTGAGATCTCCTCACTTTGCTGAAATAGACAATGGGTTTCAAAAAGGTGGGATGTGAACAGAGTGGGGATCATCCCATAAGCCCCACATCTTTGAAAAGTCGAAAGAAAGCACACATACATATATCAATGTTACAAAATTCCGTAAGAAAGGATTTTATTTTATTTCCTTTTTTGATAGCGTAGAATTAGAAAGAGGTGAAACATTTGCACACATTTAGGGTCAGAGAGGATTCACAGTAATACTAACAGCAAAGCCAACATTTCAAGAAATATTCTCTCTCTCATTTGCTGTGACAGAAAAAGCCTTTATTCCAGATTTCTACTTTCTCAATCTACTCTACTAGTCAAAAAAGCCCTGGAAATTTGTCAGAATAATAAAAGCTTTACTTCTTTGAGTCAGTTGCATTATATTTCCATAGAATGTATTGATTTTAACGAAGAAACCATTCTATGCTACAAAATCATTTAAAACATCTGGACAAAGAAAATCCCTGCTATCCTGTTGTTTTTTCCCTACATTCTCTTGCCAGCCAGATAATTAGCAAAGAACAATCATGAAAAAAGAGCATCTAATTGTACCTATAAACTGCATTCTACATGCAAATCACATGACAATATAGATGTTGACTAGCATTTCAGAAATGGATGTTGACCTTGACTACGTTAAGTTCTGAGAAACAAGCAATTATGGATAACATTTGCAATTTAATGTAAATTAATTGAGTTGAATGTTGCTTCTGAAAGGGAAAAAATGCACATTTACCTGCACTGAATCAATTTTTCTGATTTTTATTCACTCCTATTTTTTAGAAAATGATAATAAGTTAACAAAAAAAAAAAACAAAAAAACTCCCAATCTATAAAGAAGTTGTTTGGTTTATTGTTTTCCATTTCTTTCTTGCAGCTTTAATTTCCTTCCAAGTAAAAATGTCTTCTCTTTCCTTTAATCTCCACATATTTCTATTTTGTTCAACAACATTCATTTTAAAACAGAAATATAAACATCATCATTTCAAATTTCAAAGACATTTAATTAGGACTTAGATACTAATTTTGGGATCCTGTGAAAGATGCCCGCTAATAAAAATTTTAGCTAAAAATTCATAAGTTTGTGAACTTTGTTAAAGGCTTTGTGTCAAAATATCTGATTAAGATCTACACTTTATGACAACGTTCACCAAATGCAATGAATTATGATTATGAAAAAAATGATTTAGAAAAATGCATCTAAATCCTGGAGAAATAGAACATCAGAAGTCTACTATGCTTCATAAACATGCAGAATGAAGCCGGTATTTTAGCAAAATTGTTTTCTGCATAGAATATGGACAGCCCCACTCTGCTAATTCTTCCAGTACAAGTTTATGTAAGTGTTGGTGAGCATAATGGGATCCAGCTTTTAATTTTCTTCAATTCTGAGATAATATTTTGCTGCAGCAACCAATGTGAATTAGATTTCCAATTAGTGGGCTCTGAAGATATTCAGAGAGCAGTAAACTCCCAGATTACACTAATGTTTCTTTCACCCTCTTTTGAGGAGGATCATTCCCTGGAACACAGACTAATAGTTACCAGCCATGATGGAGATGCATTAACAAACTCAGCCTGCTGCTATTTCCTTGTCTGCTTAAAGAGTCAGCAGGACAAAACACATTGATTTCCATTTGTGAAGGCCATCCAGAAAGGACACGAACATTTCCTTAATGAAAGTTTTGATGAAGAAGACACAATCAGGGAAAGATCACTAGCCCTTGAGTTTCATGGATTTCCCATATTTCAGACTTGAACTACTTTTAATAACACTTTGTGTCCTCATCGAGACAAATTTGCAGGAAATCTTTGACTATAAAGTTTGTATTAC